TTAGAAATTAGCTCCCATCCTACTTTATTTTTCTTCATTTAGTTATGGGCAACACAGACAACCTGATAAAAGCCACTAATTTCCCCCTCATATGTAAATATGTAAATATCTTTACAAAATTTCACTTTCATGTTGGCAACTGTAAGACACATGAAGCTCATCTGTGGAGCTGTCTTTCTTTCCCACGGTGGAAAATATTGATCTAGGAAATAGACATTATCATTTCAGGAAAATTTATATGCATAATCAGAAATTAACTAGAAAAAAATAAGAGAGTTAATATAAAAATTTAAATTATGCTATTCCTTCTGCATCAACTTTGACATCCCTGTCTTTTTTATTGACCCATTTATATCACTTTCCAATTCACAACACTGCAGGATTTTCAGAAAAGTAAAATTAAAACTCAAAGTTTTACCTGGGAAGGAAACAGGGTGCTTCAATTGCATGTTCAATTGCATGGCTATCATTTTGGAGTCTTCCAGAACAATAGATATATGTTTCCAAAGCTTTGAAAAATATTCCAAAAGTTGTGACAGATGAGTGCTCACTGACCTCGTCCACACTTAGGGAAAATTATGACTTCCAAATATTCACTTGTTGTGAATTTTGCCAATCAGAATTAATAGGGAACATGAGCCACAAAGATATATTAGTTGTTTTTACACATTCTCCAAAATATTGAAAGCTCAACTCCCATTTAATAGAAATGTATGAATAGCATGTAAGAACATCAGCAAGATTTTGAATTAATATTGGAAAGGAGGAATGTAAGAAATTTGTAATCAGGCATATCTGGGATGAGAAATTATATATAATGTCTTTGATGCATTGGGATGCTGATATGTCTCTGAATGCCTACTTCTCAAGGCATTGAGAGGAATGGTAAGAATGTGAAATATGTGTACCATCATTTATTTATTGATCCATCATTAACTCATTTAACCAATACTTATTAAGTAGTTGCCATGTGCCAGACATTGGTCTAGGAGTAGCTCTAAGAGATCCCATGATGTCATCATGCTTGTTAACAGATCAGATCACCAGAAATGGATTGTTGCCTGCTTGTCTTTTCACAAGTGATTAATGGCAGGGATACTCTACTACTACTAAGTGTTTCTGAGATCATGTAAAATAGTCCAGAAAGGTTTAGTAACACTGTTAATAAAAACAACCTGATGTATATTGGAATTAAAAAGTACAAGAATATTTTTAGAGTGTCAGATTTATGCTATGATATACAACTTTTAACTTTTCTTCAGTTTCTTGCCTTTGGGAGGTGTTCTATTTCAAATCAATAGTCTCAAGAAATAAAACAGAGTCAGCCAGTCATGATGGTGCACACCTGTTATCCCAGTGGCTCAGGAGGCTGAGGCAGGATGATGGCAAGGTTGAGGCCAACCTAGTGAGACTCAGCCTCAGCAACTTAGTGAGCCCCTGCCTCAAAAATAAAATAATAATAATAAAGAAGAAGGACTGGAACTGTGTCACTCAGTGGTTAACCATTCCTGGGATTCAATCCCTGGTAGCCGCCCCCCCCTCCCAAAATAAGAAAAAGAAAGAAAACTAAAAGTCAGCTCCCATTGAAATTCAAGCACAACCTGGAATTCATTTCCTCATGCTCACATCCCAGATATGCTATTTTTCCCTCCTAATACAGTTATATATTTTACTTTTAGCTTCCCCTGAAATTCAATAGATTTCACAATAAATTATTAAACATCAGATTTGTCAGTTGCATCCTAACTTTTATGAATAAAAGGGAAACATTTAAATGGAAAGTTAAATGCATATTCCTAAAAATCTATAACCTCTCCAGAAATTCTGACATTATTCCCATGAGATAGCTCTTTAATTATTTTAAAAATCAACTGAGGTCATAGTAGCTCAGGGGTGGAACGATGCACTTTTCATTTGCCATCTACTCAGTGCGCCTATGCAATATGCCTCTCTGGAGGAGCACACTTTGAATAAATCTGTTTTTTCCTTTTCTTCTACTGTTTAAAGTTAAGTGTATTCAAATGTTATTACATCAATGAAAACTTCAGCCTTATTAATATGGGTCTCTTAATGCATTTTAATGGCACAAAGTCCTTCAAATGATCTACTGGACATCTAATATTAGATAAAATGCCCAGGCAGGGGCTATCTGCATTAAAATAAAATGAAGTGTCAAACATGGTTTAACCCAAAATCTTAACCACAGCCAGTTTAAGGGATATTTGAAATAGGATTTAAAGATTTACCATTTTACCATTTTAACCACTTTCTTATCAACACATCATGCACTAAGTTTAATATATGTTTAATGATACAAACTTACTCAATAATTATGTGGGTTGTGTGAACACCATTCTTTTTCCTTGACTCAAAACTGTGGTTCTTAGATGTAAATGTACACTTGATTCACAGAAAAGGTTGTTGACCCTGCAGATTGCCAAGCCATATTCTGAAACTTTCTGGTTCAGTAATTCTAGAATGAGGCAGAAGAAATTGCATACTTAATAAATCCTGATTTACATAAATGATGGGGGGAAGCCATATTCCATATTCTGGTGGGAATTCAGTTCAAATTTTCTGAGCTGTGTGGTTTGCAGGCAATTGTACTCCTTTGCTGCAGGTAAGCTAAATTACTTCATGCTTTGGGGGATCATGTTGGCTCTGCTTATCAAATAACTTTCATATTGATTCATTCCAGCATGCATGAGCTTCATGCAGATTACTTATAAATATATGAATGATATTACTTTTCCCACTAAGTATAACAGGAATGCATTTAATTATGAGTGAAGTCCATCCGAAAATTCCTAGAAACCTTTTCTTCATTGTGTTTATTCTTCTCGTGCACCATATGCTTCAGAAGTTAACTTCTGCAACACCTGGGAATAAAATTTGGTACAGAGAAGACTGAGTAAATGGGAGAGGGGCTGCTGAAACTGCTGTGGTCACAGGAAGACTCTTGCCATTTTCTTCAGTCTGGAATATGAAAATCCACACCGCTGATCTTAAATGAAGGGGCCAATACATATTTTTCTGTTCAATATTTGTATATTCATGTTGTCTAAAAGAGTTACCTGTATTCCACATCATCTTCCCCTTTCACATCCATTCATGCTTATTTTTAACAAAACGAAAACCCCAGGGCCTCTCTCTGTACTTAAATGTCAAGGCAAATGTGCTATGTGTTTAGCTACAGCAAATACAATTTTGTTCTCCTCTAAAATGATTGAATGGGGATCTCTGAATAACATCAGTTATTTCACTTATCACAGTGCCATGTCATCAATAAATACTAATGACCATAATAAAAATAATAATGATGATGACCAGCACTTCATTAAATATCCCAAAGGAATGAGGCAGTGTGTCAAGAGAGTAATGTGAATTTACATCAGTAATTTAAAAAACTCTTTGAGAAAATGTATTTTTTCTATTTTAGGCCTACAAACAGGATTGAATTTCAGAAAGAGTTAACTCCTTCAAAGAGTCACACGTAAAACTCGGACTTCTATCTAGGAAGTTTACCAAAGTCCTTTCTCTGAATCGCTACATCACTGACTTAACCACTAATTATATTTTGGGGTATTTTATGTTATAGTATCACTTAAACTACATTTAAACATAAAGAAAGAATATATTTCCATTTAAAAGTGCAAAAAATTGAATTAGGAGAAGTTATTTTATTTTTATATTTAGGGTATTTCCAATCATATATGTGCTTGATATAATGCAAAATGGCATGACTATTGAAAGTTCTGAAATTGAGGTTCTCACCTTTGTGCAGGTTGTAAGTTACAAGGCAGTAACTACCATTTTACAAAATGAAATGATCCATTTTTTCACTTTAACTTGCAAAATTCAATAGAACATAAATGTCCAAACAGGCATAATATATTTGGCATGATTTTTACATACTCAAAATGTCATAAAATTGAGCATATTTCACTGTTAACTATGTTTTTTTTTTTTTTTAATTCTAAATCTATGATCACCTTGGCTGCTAGGCTTCATCAGCATTTTTTACCGACTTTATAATTACAGTTGTTTTACTGTAAACATTGGCCTTTTGTGGAATTCATTTCATAGCTTTTTACAACCCACTACAATGGAAATTCTACACAAGATGCTGATGACAATAGAAGCATAAATGTCAGCGGTAATAGAAATATAAGCTATACTTTTATTATATTAGCTCTTGCCCGGTTTCCCATTAAAGTAATAAATATCATAAAATCATACATACAAAGACACATCTCTGACATCCAAAGAAATAACTTAGCATAAAGTTAATGTAGCTTTGCAAATGAAGCAAGTACATTCTGTAGGCACCAATTCCAAGTATCCGTATCTATCCAAACAGTTCTCTGCACAGTGGTAATTCTTCTAATCCCTATAATTTATTCATCTCAGGATACACTCCAAAGCATTGTTTGCATATGTTATCCACTAGCTTTAAAAGCAGTATTCATTATTGGGAGGGAACAGATGCAACTCATCAGAAAGGTTTGTTGCAGTGATGTTTGTGTGGCAGAACTCTCTATTTGGCAAACACTTGTAACCTGATGAGCAAAATGAAAGAAGAGTCCTAAGAACTCAAAATTTAAGTCCTTTACCTCTAAGATCCTCCCAAGAGCCACACTGCAATCACTGTAACAATTCCAAGTCTCATTCTAGATGCCCGTAAATACTCAAATTGGAAAGAAAACATGTAATTGCCCAGTGGAATTTTCAAATACACTTAACTTTGCTATTTCAAGCCACAGACTACAAAGGACATGACAGTAATGCTCTTAATTTACATCAACTTATCAAAGCTGAGGTTTTAAAGTGATGAATTTTTCTCCTTATTCTTGGCACCAACCATCCATGACAATTTAGAAAGCTGAAAAGAAGTGTTTGGGCCAAAGCATCAGACCACAAAAGGGATATCACTAGGGGTTTAACGACAGTAGGAGTCCTGTGATGTGATCAGAAATACTGATGTGAATTTTATGTTACAGGTCATTCAAACAGTGAGTGCCATGGACAAAGATGATCCCAAAAATGGACATTATTTCTTATACAGTCTCCTGCCAGAAATGGTCAACAATCCAAATTTTACCATCAAGAAAAATGAAGGTAAATGTATAAGCTGTGTGAAACACGGTAGAGCATAAATTGTAAGATAGGATGTGCTTTCCTAATCGAACTGAAGAATATCATTAAAATAATTGTTTTCATTCCAAGAGCTTTTGAAATCCAGTTTGTTAGGCTAATACCATGGTAATTACATCACTTCCCCTTTTCAATGTTGAAACAATAGGTAAGAAAATTGTTAATGTGGAAATTAATTTTATCCCAGGGAATACTTCAATCACCTTACTTTAAAAATGAGGAGTCAAATTTAACCCCTGTGAAAGCTTCTGGGAACTTTGAGATACTGAGATATCTGCCAGAGGAGGAACTGGCTTGCACTTTGCAGTTGTTAAGTTTTAATTGAATGTTTACCAAGTCTTTAGGGAAAGTCTATTCTAATTTTGCCTGGTTTGTGAGTACACATTAGAGGTATTTGTTTTAAGCCTGTTCTGACTTTAATAATAGCAATTAGATCAGAAAATCCTTCTTGAAGGACACTTTTGTCAGTATAATTTTTTGAACTAATATAAACTGATTTTATTGTTAAATCTCTCAGTCACAGAGAATATTTAACCTATTTCATTATGTTTTGAGGACACAATGTGGATTACCATTTCCTTTAGTATGGTTTATTACATATGAAGACTTTAAATCTTTTTTTTAGAAATGTGTATTTCATCTGTATATTATCATTTCCTAATCTCTTATACATTTAACAAGGATTTTTAACTCAGGTTTGATGAAAATGTATTTATCTTAGATTTAGTTGTTTTAAAACAATTACCAAAATACAAGTATTCTCGCAGACTTTTTATAGGTATTTTTGAATTTCTGAATGAGTCTTAATTTGGTTCACAGTATCTGTTGGCATTATTTGCTATATTCTATTTAGAGGAGGTAAGGAATTTTGGAATAATTAGTTTATGAAATAAAATAAGATTTTAGAGCTTGGGTTAAATATAGTATAGCCTGGACTTTTAACAGAATGATCCTTACTTCTTTGAGAATGCTTTGATAAATGTAGATGCAGCACAGAAAAGTAATTGAGAAGTGGTAATGTGGATGTTACTCACTTACCTGGCTTCCATGATTATGAACACGAAAGTGAGGAAATCATATTTTCCCCCTTCACAAATAGATTGCTCATTTGTTAGGAACTGTAACATAAGACCAAGTTTTTGCTCCTTATTAATAATGCCTTGATTTCTCTTTTATGAATGTTACATGAACATGTTGGAGACAACAGCCCCATCAGAATCCCCAAACTGAGCTAAAAGTTGTGTTTAAGTGTGGTCCATGCTTATATTGAGTATGAACTACTTAGTATCTGGAATTAATTTTTAGTATTAAATTTCTTACATTTTTAGGTAGGATATGTTTTCCCATTCCATATAGTAAGAATTTCTTGGTGTTTTCTGTCCATCTCATGATTCCAAATATGCTTGTTGTAGGTTTGGCTCTGGAAAGCACTGCAAACACAGTATTGGGTGAATGGGAAAATATTATTGGGTATCATGAGGAGTGTAACTTTGACTTGCACTTAAAATGGCTTAGTACATTTGAATAGGAAAACATGCAGTCCCCAGTGAATGGATTTCATGTGTGTTCTCTAATTTAAACAAAGGGGAATGAAAGGAAGGGAAGGGGGATAGGAATAGGAAAGACAAAAGAATGAATCTGACATAACTGTCCTATGCTCATATATGAATATGAATACACAAACAGTGTAAATCCACATCATGTATAACCACAAGAATAGGAAGTTATATTCATGTATATATAATATGTCAAAATACACTCTACTGTCATGTATATCTAAAAAGAACAAATAAAAAATTTAAAAAAAGAAATGGTAGAAAATAAAATACTATAACATAGAAAATTTTCTTTGACCATATCACACATTTTAATAAATCACACAGTAGAATATTTAAAGCTATGTAGATTATATGTTATTTTGAAACTAGAAACTATAATTTTAGCCTATCTAATAAGTTTTCCTTTTATCTTTGTAAATTTTCAAAATAAAAGAAGCCAGGTATTGCAAACTGAATCAAGATTGAAAGGACACTCTGCTCTAGGTGCATAATTATTTGTTTTAAATTATATGTTCATTTGTTTTGCAAAGAGTGACCATATAATTTATAATTCCAACTGTGAATTTTTTTCAAGCAAAAGGGGTTGCCATTTATATTTATGTCTAGAAAACACCATAAACAAAAACTGTCTTGTAAGGACATATGTTCACCGTGATTTTGGATTTAGGATCCAAATATTCAACATCTCCTCATAGAATAAATCATGAACCCACAGGTCTTTGGAATAGATATGTAAAGTTTATACTCTAAGAAATTTATGAGTTTTGCTCCATAGACCATACTTCTTGACTTTGTGCATTGTTACTACAAGAATTAGAGAAAATTATGTTTATTAATACATAGAAACAAAGTAATAGAGTTTGTCTAACTTAAAACATTGTTATAGGTAAACAGCCAGATAGTCCCTGGGCCTGTTGCCAATCCATTGTTAATGATGAGAAAAAATAAAAATAACTTAAGAAGTCAAAATAATAGACTTACTTCTACAGTATATTTTATGTTGGAAATATTAAGAGATGAATAAAATGGTATAATCCTATTAGAAATTGATTATTATTAAGATGGATTTTAAAAAGGTCTATATGGACATTTAAATAAGCAATGTCTCTCACTGAGACCATTATAAGTTCCAGCCCACTAGGACAATATTAAGATCCAGAGATATCCAGTATATTCAGATTGATAATTAATGGGTGGATTATTCAACTACTTAATTTGATCTTCAAGGGAGATAGTTTCAGCACCTGGTATTTTCTAAGTAACTTGCAGCCACGACTTTCAACTCAAAATTCTTTTGAAATTTCTTCTCTTTCATATAGATTGATGATAATGAATTTTCAGGTAACTAATTCATAATCAAAGACAAAAATGAGACAGAAATGAACTGTCTCTTGTATCTGAAACAACTGAGTGATTTCACAGACAATTCTCTGCAATAGTAGGAAAGCAACCTTCAGTATGGTTAAAGGTAAAAGTGAAGGTCAAAAATATGATGGATCATTTTTATCCCATGTATACACACAAAAAAATTAGAGTACCTTGAATTTTCTAATTATATAGCTTGGACATTGGTCTCTTCATCTTCTAGTTGGGTGAATTTATAAACAAAGGCTTTTGCTGACCATATTTCAGTATTGGCTTCCATTCTAACTGTGTAAATGGAAAATACCCAACAATTCAATATAATAAGACAGGGAAGATAAATGGTCCTTTTACAGATACTGAAATATCTTGCTTGCAGGAAATTTGAGGTTTGCAGAAAACTCCTCTTATCTAGCCTGGACATTGTAGGTAAATTTTTTGATGGGAATTGCCAGAATACATCTGGTAAAATGGGAGTCTGCATTGTTCATACTAAAATGTTGGAATCGTGTGTAAGAAAATGAGTAGGAACATTAAGCTGTGCCTCTAAGGAGTGCCAGTGGGAAGGAGAGATATTGACAGTAAAATGACACTTAGTTATATCTTTTTATGCTTAAAGGGAAAAAAAAAGCAAGGGAACCATAGTACCTTATGATACTGATTTTCCCCTTGATATGTTAAAAAAAATTGTCTGAAATCTTTTTTATAAGAAGCTCACTCTAAAGACAGAATTTTGATAATTAATCTGAATACTCTAGATGCTGACTAGAACTTCACAATGAATGTGCTGTATGTTATCTGAATGTCTATAATGTGGCTCCCTCTTCAGAGTATAATTCATGCTTTATCCTAAGAATTTCCATCTCAACTGAATATCCCACTTCAATATATATATATTAGTTTGTGTCCTGTAGAAGCATTCCTTGTAATAACATTCTGACTATAAGCAAAGTATTATAATCCTCAGTTTTCTCATCTATAGCATCAGGTTAACAATATACCTTATTTCCTCTTAGGAGTACTCTGATAAATATGTATAAATCAGGACTTAAACATCTCTTAGCATAGAGAAAACTACTTATCAATAAATGGGAGAAGATTATCTTTACATGAGTCCATTAATTCATAACTTCTCATGTTATGCCGTTATCTCCTCTGGCAAATTATTCTCAACCAGGTCTATTTGAAGCTTTTATTCTATAGATTTTTTTGAATGTGCAGTGACTTTGAAAGGGGTCTCACCAATACTTCAGAAGACATTGACCTCCAGTAGAAGACATTGCAAGAAATCTGCCTATGCAATACTGTAATGCATTACAGTTCAAAAAGTATCATGATAGAAAGACAAAAAGGTAAAAAGAGGAGGAAATGAAGGAGGAGGAATAGAAACAGTGAAAATACCAACCAACCACAGAAATAGCTGTGGGATTTCTGGATCTGGTTTTGAATTGAAGACAATGTTTCATTATTTTTCCCCACTTCTCCTTGCTAAAATGAGACTCAGGCTTTCTCCACACTGTGGTTAACCCCAGCTTCCAACTTGTTAGGATCACTTTCAATTCTAACACATGAACTTGTGGGAACCATTACTTTGTGGGAACCATTTTGCATAGGCTTGACTATTGCAGACAGATTTTCCTTGTACTTTTGACTACTGTTATCTTATCTCAGACTTCTCTAGTAAAAAAAGAAAAAGAAATCCGTTGCCTGAAAATGGAATGGATCTACCTTGCCCAACACAACCAGAGCTGACCCTCTTTCTCCTTCTAAGTCCTTAGGACTCCTCATACTCAGGCCGTAGGTGTCAAAGTGGACAAATACTTCTTGCCTCTTCTCTCTGCCTTAATCTTGCTCTATCCTTCCAGGCTGAATTGTACCTGAAAGTCCCTGTTGCTGATCCACAGGGCAAAGAGGTCACCTTGGTAAGCCAGCTGTGCTCTTTCTGGTTACCTCAGCCCTGCTTGAGTTCTCCCCCTTACTATAGGATGCTTTGAAGCAAAGACAGGACTTTCCTAAATAATTTTTTTTCCTTAGTAGCCTTAA